ATAACATTTTTGAGAGGTCTTACTTCTTCCTAAGGGTAAATGGGAAAAATCTGAAATTTTAACAATGGTTAGATGTAAGAAACATTTTACACTGAAGTCGTTAGACATTTCACACCTACTCCTCATCTACTCAAGACAGCTCATTGCATCATGCTCTGCATGTGAATTCTTCAAGTACAGATCATTTGGATTTTTCTATTGTTCGGTCCTGAAATATAGGGCTTTCTTTCCTCCACAAAAGGAAGAAAAATTAAATTCTTCAAATGTTCCTTGAATCATCCTTGAAAAAGAGGAAGAAGTTTTCTAGCAGCCTTTTCAAGGAAAAATTCATCAGTCATACTGAGTGACTGTTTCAGTTGACTTATTAAAATTATAAAAATATTAAGCTGGTTTTAGTACTGTACGCTACAAGTATATCATCTAAAGTAAAATTATTATCTTTTCATTTGCCATCAATGAAATAAAAAAAAGTTATTAAAACACAGAAACTTGACAATGAAATGTGCTTAATACTAAATGTTATTTCTCAGTCATCTTCAGACAGGTCTGTTCAAGATAAATGTAACTTTTATGAATAGTTAATACCAGATACACATTGATAATCTTGTCTTTAAAAAAATCTATATGTGGTTTCACGCATTTTTGTTTGTTTGGGAGTGGGGTTGTGGGTTTTGGGTTTGTTTTGGTTTTGGTTACGTTTTTTTCGTTGTTTCATTTGTTGTGGGAGTTTTTTGTTTTGGTTTTGTTTGGTTTTATTTGGTTTTTAGTTTTGGGTTTTCCAGGGTTTTTTTTGTTTTGGTTGGTTGGTTGGGTTTTGGTTGGTTTTATTTTTTCCTATACAAGCTCACCAGAGAATGGCAGCTGAGGAGCATGTGCTCAGAGGTCCAATCTGTGTTCAGTTTATACACTCTAGGCACCACAAACATTTTTTTGTTCAGGGTCAGAGAGTCACTGGGATGTTTAGCCAGGGAGGGTTTTTTACCAGAGATAACTGCAAACAGCACAGAAGGGAAGAAAATCACAGATGAGTGCTCATCAGGAAGGAGGCAATCCCAGTGTTTTTTTTTTTTAATGTATTAGTGCAGAAGCAGAGACCAAAATCAGCAAAGCTGCAATCTGTTTATATTCCTAAGTCTTTGCAAAGGGAAACCGCCTGTTCACGTGTTGCACTTCATAGAATCATAGAATCAATCGAGTAGAAAAAGACCTCCAAGATCATTAAGTCCAACCCTTGATCCAACACCGCCGTGGTTACTAGACCATGGCACTGAGTGGCACATCCAATCTCACCTTAAAAACCTTCAGGGATGGTGAATCCAACACCTCCTTGGGCAGCCCATTCCAATGTCTGATTACTCTCTCTGTAAAGAATTTCTTCCTAACATCCAACCTAAACCTCCCCTGGTACAGCTTAAGACTGTGCCCTCTTGTCCTGCTGCTGGTTGCTTGAGAGGAGATCGACGTCCACCTAGCTTATCACCTTGTTGTTCTCTTTTTCAGTAGTTCCCTTAGCTTTACCACAATAAACACAGTCCTTAACACTGCATACCTGAAGTCCCTTTTCCCCATCGTCCGTGCTGGGTGATCACCTTCAAGTCTGTAAACAAGGACTTGGGTGCTCTTATTGATAAAGCTGCTCACTGCTCCCCTGACAATAACCTTAGATTTCTATCCAATGCGGTTTTTGTTATTAAAAATAAAATAAGAATAATAGAACTTGTGCTCCATTAGAAAAGTCACACGTGACAGGGCTTTAAAAACAGGCTTAGAGCTTAAAGGGACAATAAAATAAGAGAAGGAATGATGTTCTTCTGGACTGGGGTTTCTGGTGCAGGATTATGGGCAGAGAAGGAAGCAGTGCTACCAAAGAGCAGTCAGAGGTGAGAGAGCAAACATCTTGCCTGCTTTGCATACAGTGGGTTTTTCTCTTATCCCATATGCCCTGGTTCTACAAACCTTCTTTTAAGCTAAAGTGTAGGTGTGTCTGCTGAGGAACAGCTCTTTGAAGAAGCTGTAGGTGTAGCATGTCTGTCATTAATCACTCTCCAATCATGGAAAATGAAATGAACAGTTAGTCAGTGGGTAAAAAAACAAAGACTCATTTTTCAAGTCTTCTTACCAGATGAACAGACACCTTTTGGTGACACCAGATTTCTTGTTTTCTTTTTTTTCTCATTCTTATATTAATTTATTGGATATTTAAAATCTAGTGTAGATAGTGCTACCATACATAAAAATATGATTATGCTTAGAAGATATCTTAAATATTAAAAAGGTAAGGACATAAGCAGAAAAAATCCCATAATGACAGTTGGAATAACTAATAATGCTGATAATGAAATATCAGATCATCACTATAAATTATTATCACCTATTAAAAATTAATTGGTTATTAAGTGTTACTTAGAGCTCTACTACTATCTTGATGACGTGAAAATCATTCCTGATTTTCTGGCATCGGAAACCTCATGCGTTATATACCTTTCCTTCAGACATATTTATAGCACTGCTGATCTGAAAGTATCATTGCTGGTGGTTTGGAAACTTGTAAGACCACTTTTCAGATGCCAGCAAAAAATGTATACATATTTGGAGCACATGATCAAAACATATGAAAATAATCATATAAGAAATCTCTTTAAGACTTCTCTATTCTACACAAATGTTACATCCCCAGGAAATGGCTCTATAACAGGAATTAACACTGAACAGACTTATACTGAAAGAAAATGTTGCTCAGGCTCAGTAGCCTGTTTCCAAAAAATACCACTTTGAGTTCACAGAGCCTTGTGTAAGGGAAGAGTCACAGTCTCAACAGCTTAATTCCACACTAAGGAGAGGAACTTGGGGAGCAACAGATCACAACATCTCCTGGTCATTCTGACAGGAACAGTACTGGAATTCTACTTTTGCACTCTTTGCCCTGCACACAACCGCAACATAAACGTAATCTTCTATTTTTTTCCTTTCTCAGTTCTAGATTAACAATATACAATTTTTCATCTTTGTCCCCAAATAGAGACACAGGTGTCTGTTCCCTGATGCACATCTCCCTGAATGAGGTCTGACACTCCTTCTCTTCCATGCCGATGATCTAATTATTCCCACATGCTGCTGAAAGATGTTGCAGTTTACATGCTATGAGATGTGTCTCACTGCATGTGTCTCACATGCTATGAGTGTGTCTCATTGACATCTGTTCTACCTGACTTCTGACAGCCAGCACCAGTATGCAGCATAGGGCAGGACCTACAGACAACTGACATGACACAGAAAGTACCATCTGCATAACCTTTAAATCTTTAAAGTCAGTTTCCAGTATTACAATCACAGATGCAGTTTCTTCTATTATTTATGAGCAGGCTGTGAAGACATATTTCAAAGAACAATTTAGCCTTTAATAATTTTTCAGCTTTTAGTGAGCAATGACTGTTCAGAGTGAATTTACAGAAAACACATCAGTATTTCGAATTTACCAGTCAGAATACCCTGCAGTATAAATTGTCATCTTGTTACAAGAATGGAGTAGCTCACAAGATGTAGCATGTCAGATAAATATATTAGGAATACTGTAAGAGAAAAAAAATCACTCATTTTTCCTTATTTTCTTTAAAATAGGAGAGATTTGCAAACACACACTTATTCAAACCTTCATTTCAAGTTAGTCATCACAGTGTTTCACTCTCCAGTTCTTTATATGCTGTGAACCTCCAGTGTCTATGCAGTTGTTTCTAAGGTAACAGATCAAGATGCCTTGTGAAAAAATGAATCAGATCTTGAATATTCAAGATATCTCCAGTTGCAGAAATGAGAAAGGACAGTATCATCTCAACTGAGGGTTCTCAATACCTTTTAGACCCTGACCTGATTTGCAGGCAAGAAAAATATAATCCATAAGGCTGCAAGTGTGAGAGTACCGTGGCTCATGCAGTTTCAGGCATGTAAACTGTCAGAAATTTTTAATCAGAGCCATAATTAAAGAATTAGGGAGGCTGTTCTAAACAGAGTCTCATTGCCTCATTGAAGGGTACACACACACAGAATGCAGATGAAGAATGTGTTTGGTAGGATTGAGCCTTCATTATAACCAATGACAGCTGCACAGAAATCTTTCTGTCAGATATGTGATGCACAAACCAAAAAACACATTAAAAATTAAGGTGAACCAGCATATGAAAATAAATGCATATACACCTTTCTCAAGAGATCAAATATGTACTATTTCCACCAAAGAAAACAAATTGCTATCTTTCACAGGTCTTTCATAGGATTACCTGGGTCAATCATTTTCAGCAAATGGAATTACTGGGTTTTGTTGAGGTTTTTTGCTGTTGGTTTGACTGTGTGTTTGTTTTCTTAGGCTGGTTAGAACTACCTTTTTTTTTATTTCAAAGCCTATTTTACTTATTATCTGAATCCAGAATTCATATAAACATTTAAATGCAAGTAAGGCACATAGAGAGAATATTAACTGAAATATGTAAGGCTTTTAGAAAGCTTTTGTTGCTACAAAAATGTAAATTCTTTGCTTAACAATCTCTGACATACGTTTATTGATACATGCACACACCCACGAACTGTGATAAAATAATCATAGGGTATTTTTCAAATGCATATTAGAATGGGATCTAAAAAATCAAATTCATAAAAAAGGATCAGACTTGATAAAAACCTTCAGGGCTGTATTATTTTCCAGGTTGTATAAGGAAAAATTGAGGCAACTGGGGATCAGACAAAAGTCATGGCCATATGACTTTACAGGTCATGACTGCTTCTACCTGTTTTCCTATCTTTGAATTAGCTCCAAATGCCCCAAATGCTACTGCATTACAAATTATTGCTCACTACAAATGCATGTAATAAAAACTGTTCTGAATATTTACATAGGCTTGTTTGGCAGCATTCTCCAGTGACTACTCTGCATGAAGAAAATATTAACAGATTTTGGGACTTGTATCATTTAACAAACTGAAAGGCAGATGCATTGATTAGGGTCTTACGTTCTTGGAAAGATGTGAAGAGCATCTGGAATCGGCTGTTTCGACTGCCTTCATCTGCCCACATGCGGATTACACCCAGACCTGTCCGCAGCATTACATCATTAGCAACAGTGCTGCAAAACTTTGCTTTCAAATCCTCCACGGAGCTGCTTCCATCATAGACAGCTACAAAATTCCTTTTGCATTCATTGGAATTCTGCATCTCGTAGTCCAAGAATCGCAAATAGATCTATGAATCAATCAGACAACAAAGGCAACATGTACAGATATTTGAGAGTGACTGAAAAAAACATTAAGCAACTTTGCTCTACCTTGTAGGAGAAAAAGTACACAACACCACAATCAGAATAATTTTTCTGGAGCTGGTGATCCACAGGGCACTTCCTTGTAAGGGCATTTATATGTAAACTGAGTACCATTTGTATTTCCTGGTATTTTGTCCTGCTTCCACTCTATCAGAAGATCTAGGTACTTTTTTGTTCTTATTTGCTGTAAGGTCCTAATTTCAAAGTATATACCTCTCTTTCAGAAATATGTACGACAGTTCTTCAAACTGAAGGACAGATAAGCTAGAAATTTCTTCTTTCACTGCTTGGCACAATATTGCTCTATTACATGCCTGGCATGGAAAATAATAAGGCAAATCATTGCATCTCCCTCCCCAGAGTCAATATGTGTCATCTTTCTATGTCCCTGCTACACTGGTTCAGGAAGTGAGAATCTGAGAGCCAGGCAGAAATCAATCATAACTCTTTTTACCTTTCCTCAAGCAATTTTTCCACCTCTTGGCTCTTCTAAACAAAACATTGTGGTATATAACTTCATAATTTAACAGGGTTGAAATCAGGCTTACTTTATGGAAACTTCTAGAAACCTAGAAAGTTTCTTAGGAAATGTCTCTTGCATACAAGCTGTCTCATGAAGTAATAGATTTAGTGCCTTTTGCAAAGAACTCTTTAAATCTACCTAAAAAGAAGTAGGGGTGACCATAAAAGGCTATCATTTTGTATTCAGTATATGGACTTTAACAGGGAAAATCACTAATTTTAGAAACATTTGATTATACAAGCAAAATCAAATATTCCATTAACAAAGAAGGCAAGTAGTATTTTCAATAGATACATGACAAATAATCAAACTGTCAAGGGTACCTGGGAGACTTCAGGGTGAATTACCGCAAAAATAGTATAAAAAGAGAGTAAACATATCCAGCATAGAGTTGGATCTCCAGCTTGAAAAAATAACCAAAAAAGAAACCCCACTGTATTAGACATAAAATATACTTTTTTTGAAACAACTTTATTGACTTCAGGTATTTTTTTACATGCACAGAACAATTGCTTTAATACACTTCTCTGACTTTGCATAAAGTACACAAACATAGCATATCCTAGTAGCAACAAGACTCACCATTTCACTTCATGAATACATGAAAGCTCTTATGGTTTAGGCATTATGTGCTCTTAAGCAACATGTTACTGTTTCATAATAGCCCAGATTTTTTTTATGAGCCTTTTCAGGTAGCATATTATGGTGCATTTTCATTCCTTGTTAGGCTTTGCATAAGTGTTTCTCTAAAAAGGGTATTTGTAGAAAAAAATTTTACTAGCAAATGAAATTTGGTATACTAAGTTTCATTTTGCTTGCCAAACTTTTTTCTAGTATGTTATTTCTTACAGTAACCCTTACTTATGTTCCATCCTTCCCATTCTTCAGAATAATTCAGAGGAACGTATTTCAATTAAATTCAGTTAAGTGAATTCTACTTTCACCATGTATCTTGGGTTTAACATACTATAAATTAAGAAGCTGTTTGTATTGATCTCTATGAAATGGAGCAGTTAAGAGCAATACACAAAGAAATATTCAGACGGAAATATCTCATGTGAAGGCATACTTTTTATAGTGTTTTTCACTTCATGTATTGGTTGCTCCAGTAAAGTAGTGGAATGATACATACTATTGTCCTGACAGAGAACGATTACACATGGGGGAGGGAGGTATTGGAAGAGGCAGAGCCATGATATCCACACCCAGCAACTGGCCCATAGCTGGGAAACACCAGAGAACTGCTTTTGTGTCCTGAAGACCAGTTGCTCCTGCTCAAACAAGAGTGTAACAGGCTGTGCAGCCCTGGCACCCAGCCTCTCCTGTGAATCTGCTGAGAGTCCATAGTCCATCTCTGCGTAACTTACAACAGGGAGTTAAATGCACACTTTGCTTTTCTTTTTCTCCATTAACAGTGTCAGTCTGCTTCAGACAGGTGCTTCAGTGCTTGCCAGCTTTGTTACGGGTAATGCAATAAAACCCTCCTGCAGCTGATTTTATGCAATATTGTATAAATGTGACTGTTTTCCAGGAAGCAAAGCATGTCAGATCGCTGTCTCACAGAGAAGAACAGATGGCTTCCAACATATTATTGTCATGAATCATGACTTTAACACTATATATGCCTATCATATGTATGCCATCTGTATGTTACAATATACTATACATATATGATAGACCACACAGATATAATGCAATGTATCACATCACATTTTTATCACATTTTTATCACATTTTTATCTATTCCAATTTTCAGTAAAGCTCTTGTTTACTCCAGGAAAAAGAAATTATCTTAGTCTGACTACAGAATAACAGCAAAATTACACCTACTGAGTGAAAGACCTCTCATTCTTGTTTGTATGTTCTTTATTTCTACCCTGCTTTCTCATATATATGCATTTATATATACAAGTGTATATGCATATACATATATATAAGCACATATCTAGCTTGTAAAGGGTATCCTATTTCAGTACTGAGATGCAACTTTTATGAGTTTTCATTCTTACAAGAAATGTGTGCTAATCCTCACTGTGGTTACAAAATACCATCTCTCACAGCAATTTCCAGCATTCATCAATTATTCCTGTTCTGCTCAAACATCCTATTCATACAACAGTACAGCCAAAATCTTATTTCTATGGGTTTATCATTTGACATTCTCTAGTTTCTGGCATCACACTAGCTTTATAAAATGAAAAATATTTCTTAGAGTAGCAGTCATAAATGCTGAAAAGGATTCAAGAGAATAATAACTTAGCATTCTGCTCTGAGTCTTTCAGTGAAGCAGACAACACCTTCAGTTCTTCCTAGGACTGAATTCTGCTGTCAGTCATACCAGTTCACTCCTCCGTGCGAGAAATTCAGCTAACATCATAACATATATAACTTGATAGGCACTGGAACCACTGGAAAGAAATATCTGATTTAAAAATCTACATCTATCCTTCAGAAGAAAGATGCCACCTTCTCCAATGGCATGAAGTTTCATAAATTAGACAAAACAAATTCCTGATATTCTGAGGTGAGTTGGATTTTCATTCTCAAAATCTCCTTTGGAGATGACTACTCCTAGAACTTTATATAAAATAATGAGGACTTGGTACAACACTCACTGAAATCAGTGGGTATTTTTCCATTTACTTATTTGGATCAGACCTTTGGATTAAGACTGCAGTGAATTTTCAAAAACAGGAAACTGATTACCTACACTGACAATCTGATGTTGGATCAGATTTTATTTTAAAGCGCTGGAATAATTTAATTGCATCTGCACGCCTCTGCCAACTTTTATGGTTTTATAACTATATATTTGCCATTGTTCCTGTCACTGGCTGTAAGACCCACACTAGTAGAAGAAAATGACTAATAAATTGAGTTCCCCGAGGAAAGAATGAAACTGATTATATGACAAACTCTTACCTAATGCAAAATGTTCCCTATACATAGCTTTTTGAAATCAGTGGCAATATTCTCATTATTTTCACTGGTATGTGGATCTCACTAAAAAAATTAATCAGAAAGTGAAATAAAAATTATCAATATTTCTGGTTATGTCATTTACAAAGACCTTAGCCTTTACTTTACTGTAGCCATTACTTCTACCAGTAGTGGATAAGGAACTTTGTTCCCCTGAAAAAAAACAAATGAGCTAAAGAAGAGGTCACCAACTCAACCACCATCTGCTTTCATTAAGAATGTTTTCACTGATGCCAATAGAAGCTTTTGAAATGACCATTTCCATAGATACTGACACATTATATTACCATAATCAGGGCATTCTTGTTGACGAGAACATCTTCTTTGAAAGGAACATAACTGCCATATCTTCTTTCATATTTTTGCTGCTAAGTTTTAATAAGACACTTTCTTCAAATCATCAGTTCCACATTAGCTAGAAGAGTGGGCTGCTCAAGTATTAGATTTACTGAGGTTTGAGACGTCACTGCAAATGCCAGTGTCATTAGCAACAAAACTGATTAAGCCTCACTGCAACTGTGGCATATATAATTTACACTTAATCACATTATATTTTAAATAATTGTCTTGTCATCTTTAAGATTTGTATTGTAATCATGAACAATTATCAAAAAGAAAAATGCTGGATAAGTTTTATTATTTTTTTAATTTAAATTTGAAAACAACAGAAATGTCTGATTGCATGTACTAGGAAAAAAAACCCAACCCATTATAAACTATAAACCGCGGTAAAATGGTCAGATTATAATCTCTTCATAGTGATCCACTTTTGATGAGTTCTGCTTTTTAATCAATCACTGAATGTTAGGGCTGACAACATGATTGATCAGACCAGTCAGGAAAAGCTTCCAACTATATCCCTGTATCAGACTTAATATATGTCCACAGACACTCAGTCCCTCTAAATGAAACCAAACCAAACAAACAAAAAGCCATCGTTCAGCTGCCAAAAATAATTTAGACATAAGAGAGAAACCTCAGCTCCATCCAAGCATAATGTCCAGATTTCGCATATTCAGCTTCTGGGTTCATTCAATTCACTTGTAAGCACAGGACTTGGTTAAATCATCCTATGTCCTTCCTCACTGCTCAGTGATCAGTTACAGCACCTGCTTTATTCTGCATCTTTTTCAGCTCTATGTGATTAGCAAAGGGCTTTCAAGATGATACCTAGAGTATTTAGGCCTCAGAAGCCCTGTTTTTTAGGGCAGATTGTGCAACACTAATTAATCTCCTTCAAGGCAGCAAGGCGCCAACTATACCAACCTACAAAGCATATTACTGATGATGCTTGAATTTGCCTTCTGATGCAGCCTATCTTCATGTCTGGATCTTAAACTTCTTTTCAATTAACATTACTTCAATCCAAAAGTGTTAACAGTACACGTTCTGTTTGGATTTTTGATTGGCTGGTTGGGTGTT